TACCTCAAAGCATACCCTTTCATATTTGAAGTGAAACACTTCTGAATGAGTTTGTAACTGTTTTCATATCTTCTCCACTGTTGTGCTTGGTTGCCTTGTCAATACAGGAGGCTGATGCTGCTGGTACTTTCACTCAGAAACCAAGAAATGAGGATTCTTCAGCTGAAAATTGTAAGCAAATAACAAGTGCTATGTAGGGGTCCGACCCCACCGTCCCATAGTTAATACATATATATTCTACAAGTTCACATTGTTACGACTGTTGTTGTAATTATAATATGTAAATTTGAGTGTGCAGGTGCTCCTCCGTGATTGGTGCATCCAGGGTGGATGGATCGTACTGACTGACTAACGACCGGGAGGCAGCGCATAAGAAGACACAGTCAGGGACTGCCAGGTCATTCATCCTCGGCCCAACCCAACCAGCAGACCGTGTGTTTCACTATGTTGGTTTAATGTAGGAGCATGTAGGGGTGGTCCGCCGTTTTGTTTGATTAGTTTCCTCCTGTTTTTGTTAGGTAGGGAGGAAAGTAATTGTCGTTTGGTTTAGTTCTTTTGAATAGGTAAGTTGTATTTACTCCTGAGATAGGCTACTTTTTGTTTGTTGTTTTGGCCTTGGGTTCACGCTGAAGTTATAATTCGCTCCCTTCCTTTGTTTAAATGCACTCATTGTAAATAATTCCCTGTCACAAAGTATTCATTGTGTGACGTGCTGCTTGGGGTTGGACGGGGATGGATGACCCTTTATGTTGTGGTCTGGCCGCGCCTAGACGGGCCATAACAACATACAGTAAAGGAAAAACAGTAGTGAGTGTGATAGGAAAATGAATGGTGAAATGAACAAGAAACAGAGATATTTTTTTGCCTAGAAGTTTTTAATTGGCATTTGGGCTTCAGTCGCACCCAATTAGCAGGCTTGTTACATGTGAACACTAAGAGCTAATTGGCCTTATAGGTGAAAGGAGCACTGCCCTAAAAGGAGAGCACAAGGCTCACTTGAAAATTCATAGTTCCAGTAGGACTATGTTGGAAGGCTATTTGGCAAAAAGTTGTAAATAACACTCTGCTCCTGCAAGTATTATTTATACTTCCTTGCAGCCTTTATTGCCAGATGCATAACAAAGACAGAATCATGGCCGCTATAAGCTTTATGGGCAATCAGAGAAAAGTATTTGGTCATCAGCATTTTTTTCTGTAATCAACAATTCACCTGTCAACAAAAATTGCATTGATTTAAAAAAAAAAAAAAAAGAAAGTCTTGAACTATATTTTAACAGTGTAGAAATCTTCTAGGAGTCAATCAGATCTGAAGGGAAATATCCCAAATGTTGTTACCCTATTAAATGGCCGTTCTCAGTTGCATTAACTTCAATAGATATGACTAAGAGAAAGATGTCCAAATTACAAAGATGACCACTGGCCTTCTTTGTATAACTGCATGTAAAATTTACACAGGCATTGCCTACCCAAAGCCTCTAAAAGACTCACTAATAATCTGTTGTCCTAACTTACTGCCTCAAGTAGACGTGAAGAGAAAGGTTCTGTGTGACAAATTAAACTTAAACTGCTATCTTTTCCAAAGACTAACCAGACGATTTTGGTGACCAAACAAACCAAAGAAATAAAAACTGCAAAGCACTACAATTTGGCATCACCACCATAAGGTAATAACAGCCTGTTGAGACTGATGGTGGTGTAGGTGATCTCGTATAATTCATTGGCATAATAACAACTGATAACAAAGAATTAATGGGATAATAACACTGGACTTATGGAAACATAATCATTCACAGGAATAGCCTAACCGGTCTACATTCAGTACTATCCTGCCTTATACTGAGGAATATGCCGCATGTAAGTGCAAATACAACAGCACAATGAGCTCACCAAGGGCAAGAGACTCAATCTCTGATTACATTTACTATACAAACTGTAACAGCAGGATCTGTTGCACAGGACATCAAGAGCTCATTATGCTCTTTACATGCAATTAATCAAACAATATAAACAAAGATCCCTTTAGCCATAGATGACAGAGCCCGATTCCCCAGTGGCAACTGATGTACAGTGAACACTACAAAACTTTTTTTTTGAAAAATGTAAAAGTCATCGTTAATCTTAATGTGATAGTGGTGATACTATGCAATATAATCTGTTCCTCCTGCCTGTTCACACTGTTACCTATAATCTTCTCATGCTGAAAAATGCAAAGAATGTAGTGGCATGAAAATATCTGGACTTTTCTTGTAAAATAAAAGAAATATGTTGTGTGGTAAGATAACAGCGCATTTAGGACAAGTATGCATTTTGTTATCTTTGTAAATATCCATTACCCCTTTAAATTAATAAATGGGCTTTTAAGTTTACAACACGTGTTGGGAAAGCCAGCCAAGTCTATAGCGTCCACTGCAGCAATCAGCTATAATAAAACAGTTATTGATAATATTTACTCAGTCTTCTTCATGAATTATGCCTGCGACATTACCTAGTCAATGTTGTCTTTCTGTTTTCTTTTTCTTTCAGCTAATCATCCTTGAGCAAATCATAATGTAGCCAATAAAAGCAATAAAAGGAGAACTCAAGGACTCATTAAGAACTGGGAAGCTCTTGTGACCTGTGCGCTCTGTTCACTTGGGACTGTTCACAGGTTCACAGATGCAGATGCCTAAAAGATTCAAATTATGCTCACAATGTTCTGGCTTCATTTTTTAATATTGTTTTTTAGTTTGCTTGCTGATTTTGTCATTTGTGTGTTTTTCTAATCATGCAGAATTTTACAGAGAAGTATATTCACTTTTAGATCTAAATAAGGAAGCCAACCAAAGACTTGGCAATGCAGACTATACACTGCAAACTATACACATCTATAAAAATAGATTAACATAATTCATTAGGTTCATGGCTGTCAGGTCACATTTCAAAATAACAATGCAGTGGTTCCTCTTGCAAGTGTCATTTAACTAAATTATAAGCTTCAATATCTACACTATTTGTCCCATATCCATCCCTGTGAGATAGAGAGTAAATTGACTGGTTCTTATATAGTGCTTTTCTACTCTATTAGAGCACTCAAAGTGCTTTACAACTACAACAGCCATTCACCCATTCGCCCAAGCACTATTAATATAACATCCACAGTCACATTCTAATGGATTCGGGGTAACTCAGGGTTCAGTATTTTACTCAAAGACATTTTAACATGACATGCTGAGTAGTCTATCAAGCCTCCGATCAGCAGATGACCCTGAGTCACAGCTACCTTTTTTAAGCCACATGTCTCATATGAACAAATTTACATTTGGTTACCTGACAGTAACATAGCCACTGCTGAAATGAGCAATCATGGCTGTAGCACTGTGGTGAGACGCCACTAAAATGGCAGCATTATACAACTGGGCATCTCAAACCATCAGGCCATGACAGTGACAATGAGGCTTGTCCAGAAGTGTCACCTCTCCCAGCCTCTGTCTGTCTTTGTTTCTCTTGCATTATTATTTCCACCATTGTCTCTTTCCCTATATCTCTCTCACTTTATGTGTCTCATACACACATGGGCACACACACACACATGCACAGAGAGAGAGAGGCAAAGACAGGGAGAAAGAGAGCGAGAGAGAGGAAAAGACAGAACGTCTTTATTAGTCCTCTGTATGCAGTCTGTGCTCAGCCTGAGATTGCAGGACTGACCCCTCACTGTGAGCTGCACAGGGGAAATGTTTACTCAAACCCCAAAGAACATGCCATTAACCTCTTTCTAGATAGAAGACAAACAATAATGTCCCTCCATGAGGGCAATAAAGACAGAACACCTATCCAGGACCATCATGACAATCATCTCATTATGAAGCTGCGGGAGGTGGTAAGGAGCCAGGGAGCCCGGTCTCCCAGGGATACTTTCTCTACAGTATACCAGTGTGTCTAACATTCAGTAAGGTATTTATGATATGCAGTCAAGCGCAAACAAATTGTTAACCCAACAGAGTTAAACCATTGCAAGCCTGACCCAAATGCTACAACTACTGCTTCCCCCCAACTTGATAAACCATTCATTTTGCTTACTTTCTTCCACCTTTCCTTATTGTGTCATCTCCTATAGTGTCTCTTTACCTCTTTTTCTCCCTAGAGATTGAGACGACAATCCTTGGGCTCTGATTAAAGCCCCAACCTGGGAGGACATTTTAGTGTTGAAAGTAAATGAGGGGGGGGGGGGGAGTCTTCTTCTTAGGAACACGCAAGCATAATTCAGTCACACCTTGATATGTGTGAGTCAAAGTCCCCTTGCACGCATCAAATAAAGAAAGACACCACAAGCTCACACTCATCCCAGATTGAGGGTCTCCTCCTGGGTAGGCTTAAGAGCCCACTACTGGGTACCGTTTACCTGTGTCGTTTGAAGAGCCCATTATTTTAATTGAAAAAGTTACCTGCCCGCCAAAGGCAAACAGTGAAAAAAAAATGTGAGGAGAATTAAAACAAAAACACCAGATGGTGATATACATGATAAAAATGATTGTTTATACTTACTGTTTGATTATATGTGATAATGAGAGTGGGATTCCTCAAGGCAATTATTGTCTGTGGCAGCCATATTGTGAGAGGACAAGAGAAGGACGGCACGGGCTGGTATGAGGAAGCGCTTATCAAATATCTCCGGCGGGGTGATTAGTGTAATAAGACACTGCAAGGTGAGATAGGCCACTCACACTCTTTTAGTATGTCTGTGCAAGTTTGCGTGTGTAATTAAGCGAAAAAGAATGGGTGTTAGAATGAGCAAGAAACAGAGCCTAAGAGGGAGTCTGAGAAAGTATGAGCGACTCCCTTCATCTGTTTTCCATATCTGCGTGTGTCTCTGTGTGTCTTAATGTATACCCTGTCCCCATGTGCCTTACTCTGGTGGTGTGTGTGTGTGATATAATTCCTATGTTAATGCAGGTTCCCATGCCAGGCTGGCTGCCCCAAGGGCTATAGCCTATGACAGAGGGCAGATTGGGGGCACTTACCCCTGGCAGAGTCTTCTGTTCATGGAGGGCGCTCTGGGCCTTCAGTGCTGACTCTCTGGCACAGTATGTTAGAAAGGCACATCCTGCAGTATCAGGAGACAGGAGAAAGAAAAGCTTATTACACACCACTGTTAATGTTTAATAAAAGGAAGGGGGGAATTACAGTAACAGAGAGTTTTCAGATTTAAAGTGCACATGTAATTGCAAGTTATGTTTTTTATTGTACTTAACTGTCTTGAGAGATCAAAACACAAACTAAAAGCTAAAATCATATGTCATTGTGGTGATTTAAACTTTTTGTGCATGTCAAACATTTGATTATATTGCTATATATTACATTAAATAATATTCAAATATGATTAAATGCATAAACTACAAAAGAAATCCATCTCATTCATCACTTAAAACACCCTAGAAGAGATTGGTAACACATTTGTCTGTAGAGACCCAGTTTCATTCTTTTGCTCTTTTACAAATGTGCTGGTTCAGTACCCAACCAGTAACAGCTTCCAGAGTGTGAGGGTTCAACTGAAAATAACATAGTGACCAGGTTATATCACCGACTTTGTCACTCTCTTTTCTCTCTTTGTCTGTGATATGGATGAACCAAAGCTGGAGTTTGATGAGTTTGTTTCACTAAGGGTGGAGTTGAGGTAGACACACAAGTACAGCAGAGAGCCAAGAGAGGACAAAATTGAGCGAGCACTTCAGCTGTATGCAAACAAAATCTGGAGAGTCACCTTTCCTTGATTCTCTTCTTTGTTCTTGTGAATACTTTTCAAAGTTTTCACTGTTGACTTTACAAATAGGAATGACAATTGTTTCATAGTACAGTACACCTCTGAAAGGAGAACACTTGACTTGTATAAAGTCATTCAAGGTGAGCAGAAAAAATGCTTTGCATACAAAAGTGAACAGAGATTTGTTACAAAATGTAACTTAAATACAGATCAGCTTTTAATTGGATAACTCAACTGTAGTCGCGTTGTGAACAGGTGACACCAGCGTAGCGCCTAAGTTTCAGTGTGTAAATGTTACAAATAATTTAAAAATTCGCAGGAGTAGTTTCATTGAATATATGGCAAAAATATGACACCTAATATAAGACTTACCGTGTTATTATATTAAAATAGAATTCATATATCCTGACAGTTAAAATGTAGCACTCTAAATTAAGCAGTTCTATATCCTTGGACTCATTAAATGCTGAGAAGATTAAAACTTTACTTTTTTATGTGACAACCCCTTTGGATTAGATTTAGTGAACTTATGTCATCAATGTTTATGTCAATAGAATGTCTGCCACGTGGCTTGTGTTTTTTAGTGTTTTCATCTAATTCATCCATTATTGCCCCATTTTAATTATGACAAAGTACACAGGACTAAGCAAAACAAAACGGCAACATTGTTAATGTGCATGTGTAATGTGCAAAGTAAAAAAACCCCATTTACTATTAGAAAGCATATGTAATGCTTTCTAATAGTAAATGACCACTTTCATAGCTACTGAAGCCCACAACAGAGTCCGTACATTTAAGGTGACAAGTGATTATAAAACTCTGACAATGAGCTGGAACTGTAACACATATTTGTGGATACTTTTGAGTCAGAAAATTCAGGAAAACAGAATATAAATAAATAGTAACTAGTAAGTAAGTCTCCTAAAAAATGTGACAGCTTTCATTAAAGGGTAAGTTGTTGCTCTGTTACGCGCTTGGCAGAGCTGACAATGGGTGACCCCCGTTCAGAAGAGGTTTTGCACTGTGCAGCATAATTTCTCATTACTACATGTCACACCTACTGCCAAGGATCCCCATGGGAGAAGACACACACATACACTCACACACACACCTACACATACAGATGATACCCGGCATGCCTAGCACCCATCATCCCCAAAAGCCAGAAACACACTCTGGCACCCAGCCAAGAGAGCTCCCTTTCACGACAACCTTCACCCACCTCCACAACTAGGTGGTTACTCAAGAGGAAAAATCACCTAAATGACACTGATGAAACAGCATGCCACACAGCAAAGCAGAAAAGTTTGGGAGCCTGGGGAAACACTCTTCATCCTTTATGGCATTACAAAACTGTGGAACATGAGTTGAGGACTCCTGGGGGGAACGTCCTGGCAAAGGCTTATGGGACTTGCAGGCTCGTGCTGATATTCTTCTATCGGTGCCATGCCATCTTTGACGTAGTTTTTAGTGCACATTTTTTCAGGAGAATGGCATAATTTTTATCTTGATGTTATATCCCCACAAATCAGTGAATCAGTGATGCAGCTGTAAAAATCTATAACTAAGGTCTTTTAATGTCAACATTTTAACAGACATTTAATTTACTTATTGTTTAGCTTTGTGTGAAATAGCTTAACTCCACACTTCAGCATATGTTAATAACTAAGTAAATGTATACACGTGCTGTTATTAAATGCAATTTAATAGAAATGACTTTATTATACTTTTATTTCCCAAAAAGTTCCCAAAAAGCTGATTCTGTTCATCTGGAAGTAGCGTTTTTAGTGGGAGGAACATTTTTGTCACTCATCCAAGTGGCTTCTTCAGTTTTGTACTTTGGTTGGTTTTTGTTATAAGATAGTATAGAAATCATTACAGTTTCTGGAAAATGTTTTTGGTTTACGTCACAACATTTATTTTGCAAAATATCTCTATAACACAGCATTGTTCTCTTCATGTCTTTATTATCTTTTATAATGATTATAATAAATTCATATATTAATTAAGGTGCAATATCAGAATGCTAACACTGATTACATTAATATTAAATGTCTACACGTTAATGTATCAGTGCATTAATATTGATCATATATTATTGAGTATCATTTGAGGCTTTCCCGCAGTATTAATACTTAATAAATATTACATAATATATATGGAAAAATAATGCATTTAAATCTAAATAACAATCATATTAATGCTATTGTTTAAGTAATTGTGTACTTATATTATATTGTTGTTGCTTTACTGAAATAAAATTTAAAATGTGGAACTTTACTAGTACACCTGTAGTAATTAGGGGTGCAACAATACACAAAATTCACGGTTCGGTTCGATACTTTGGTGTCACGGTTCAATATTTTTTCGATACAAAAAAATGTTCATGCCTTTTTAATTTATCATTTATTAAAATTATAAATATATATTTTAACTCAAAAGTACAGTTTTTAAATTTAATGTTGCTGAAACAACAAAATAAAAAAAAAAAATCTATCTGATTGAGAAATCACTCAAAGAGAGTTTATTACAGAGAAATGGCTCTTTCCAAAATAAAAGCTATACTATACGCTTTTTCTGGGGTATACTCTCAGCAGCATATTAAACATATCAGGTCCCCATAAGGAGAATCATGTGCTAACGGATGTCTAAATGACTCAGGTAAAGTTTGTCGCATGCGTGCTTGTTGTTTTTGTCTGCTTCCACTTGTCTTTGCACTAGGATGATGTCAGCGTGAATGTGCAGTCATATTCGTTGTGTTCCCACTAGTGCTGTCAGCGTAAATCTCGTTAAAATGACATTAACGCCATAACGCGGCAAATCTCCGATGGCCCCGTGCTTGGGGCTGGACAGCGTCAACACAAGCTAACTGCGCTAACGCACTAGTTCCCACAAATTGAGCATTGCGTTGCACATCCGACACACTGTTTTACTTTTGTCCATGATGCGCTTACCTTCAGGGTCATACTTCACATGAAAACCAAGATAGTTCCAAACGCCAGATCTGAATGAGGGTGGGGGAGGTTCAATTTTGGGTTGCGTTGAGGCATTTGCCATGTTGCAACGAGCTTAGCTTCTGTCTTGCTAGCTTGCGCTACGCTCAGTGGATCTGCACTCCACAGTGCAGCCTAGGCGGAATAGTCGAACGCAGATCCACTGAGCGCTCAACACAGACAGCATTGTCAGAAGAAAAGTTGATAAAATAAATAAAAAATGTTGTATTGTTCGATACATATGCGTACCGAACCAAAACCACTGTATCGAACGGTTGCACCCTAGTAGTAATGCTACTTTGTCATGCAGGTACCCTTAGAAAAAAATGCATTGGATACTGTTAGTTTAAATAACATATTAAAGTGGGCTTCTTATGCAGTGTAGCCTTTAATATCCATTCAAAATATGTATCTGTCTCAGATTCCTGACAGCTGTTGAATATCTGCAAGACTTTGGGAAAGCTTTATACCCAACAATGTTGGCTCAGGGAACATCTGTAGCCCAAAGGATTCAGTGAGTGGGAAATCCAGTTGTGGAACAGATGAGCATTCTGCTTGGAGAACATGAATGACGGAGAGGAGGTAACAATGATCCAACAGCTGGTAGCAGGTTAGGCCTGTCATCTTAAAAATCTAAAGTAGGTAATTGGCATGGGATTACATATAAATATCACCGCCCGTTGGTATTATATTCAATGATGTAAAATGACTTGGAAAACAAACGACTTTTACTGAATATGCAGCAGAAGGTGCAAATTTATTACATATATACAAAATATTACAAAAAAACATCACATTTACACCAAATGAATACATGTTGTTTTGAATTATGTAAGAAAACAGAGCAAGGTTTAAGGATTTGGCAGTAATGTATACTACATGTTATTAAAAAACAGATAAAGCACAATTGCTCTGTGCATCATGTTGGGGTTTTTTTTGTTGTCATGTTTAAGATGTTTCTGTTTTATCAAGTACATCCACTAACATTTAAATTAACACATTAGAAGTTTGACTTAACTAAATAATGACCAGCAATTAGGAAAATGCAGTAACTTACTGGGATTTAATGTGAAAAAGAAGATGAGAACATGTACAATGTTCAAAGATTAAGGGTAAGCACTGGCGATGGTTCAGCAAAAGAACTTGTGACTTTCTGTGATGAGCAGGTTAAGTGGGGTGAAAATAATAGTTGGGTAATCAAACACAATTTACCACACTACATTTTCAGTTAGGGACAAAAGTTCAACCGATTGTATTTAAGGCAAATGGAAAAGTAAACCCTGAAAAGTGGTTCAAAGAGAAAGCAGAGAATATGAAATGAGTCTTTTCTTTTGCAAGGCACGTTTTGGG